CTATGGAAGAAGGGGTTAATAGCAATGACACTATTTACTGAGGAAGATTGATCTTACGGTCGCGTGCAGCAGCATCTCCTTCAGCGTTTCCACCTCCTGCCTCAGCTCCCGAATAATTCTTGCGTTCGGATCCTCGTTGACCACCGCGTGATTAACGATCCTCTTCGCTCTGTCCGCGTATCGGAGGGTGGAAAGCGTTTCCTCGTAATTGTCCGCCGCGGGAGATATAGTGGCCACCATTACAGTTTTACTGTTCCCGCCAAGGTTATCCTGGAATCGAATCGCAATATTTTCACACGCGAAACCACGGGCGGAACTGTATACGGCCCATTCGATAATTACTCTGGTTTATTAGCGACCATTTTTATCTTAGTCATTTACTGGCCAAATATACTATTTTTAAATGTCACTTGGACAAGCTGCTTCGAAGACCTATTGCGACAGGTATGATATTTTATTTTCGAGCTCGTGAAAATGAATCAGAATTTAAAATACGATAGATTGTTGTCTGTTTATTAAAATATAATTGAGTTAGTAATTACTGTAATATTTTAATAGTAATATTTTGAGATTTGGTGGATGAATTATTATTCCTTGTATTTGATAATAAATAGTCAAATTTATAACTTGAGAGAATATTTGTTGCAGTTGATTTTGGAACAGTATTTGACAATGAAGTGTGAAAGTATTTAGAAATCATATTATAGTTTTATTCAGTAGACATTGAAAATATTGGTTTTATTTTTAAATATTTTTATTTCACTTCACAGTGTTGATTTTATCTTTGGAAAGTTTAATAGCTTCTTTTTTATTATTAAGGATTTAGTAAAATTTGATGAAATAAGAGTATTGCGAGGTTACCTTCAGTAGCCACGTTAAAACAGAGTCTCTGTACGGCACGAACTTGTCCTTATTCTTATTGCTTCCGGAATTCTGATCCGCCAGCTTCGAAATGACTAGACCCAACGTCGTTAGGGATCTGCAAATATTTGCCCCTCGTGTATCCCTCGATCGATCACTTACAGAACGTTTCAAAACGAACCGAACATCCTCAAACATCCTTCTAACAACAACCAAATTTCCTTTCAAGCTAATAAGACTCCGAAGTTCTTGTACGGAGCTTAATTGTCAAATAACTAATTTACGGAAGAGCTTCATTATTTGATCATCTCGTATTACTGAACACACCGAACGTTCGTCAAAGTTTGCCTTTCTTTTGAAGGTGATAAATTGGACTTCCAATTAAAACCAGTTGAGCACTTCAGTGTAATTAATATTTCATAAATAATATTTTCGATTAAAAAGTTGTTTACTTAATTCTTGAATTTTTTGCGAGGATGTTTGGAATGTATTCATTAGATTAGAAGTTAAATTATTCTGGTGAGGTGCATGATTGATAAGACTACTAAACACTGATTAAAAATTGCCAAGATTACTCAAAATTAATTAGAATCAGCAATACTACTAAGAATTAATTAGAAATTACCAATCCTTCTAAAAATGAATGGAAAACAATTAATACTACTAAAAATTAATAAAAAAAAAGTATCAATACTACTACAAAATTAATGAAAAATCACCAATACTGCTAAAGATTAATAAAAAATCATCAGTACCAATAAAAATTAACAAAAAGTCACCAATACAACTGAAAATGAATGAAAAATCACCAATACTACCAAAAATTAATAAAACAATTACCAGTACTACTAAAAATGAATAAACAATTACCAATACTACTAAAAATTAATAAAAATCGAACGGTTAAATTAGCCAGTAGAAGGAAATTGAAGAGGACAAGAAGAAAATGTATACTTGTTTATATTGCTTCCTTCTTTAAGCCTATCGCCCACCGCCCCAGTTTTCACAGCCCTTTCGCTCCCTGCTAAGTCCACTAAGCTCATTCGGGAGACTTTCTCCCCGCTGACGCCGCTTTTCGCGTCCGTCAACGTCTGCGTGAGAATCACGGAGAACACTGCGTGCGAACGGGAGCTCTCCGAGTTCATGTTCGTCGCCGCCACCGTTCGCGATTTGTTGCCCTCGGCCATCAGATTGTCAATATCCTGGAAAGTGATACGTAAATATTTAATATTCTCATTTCAAGCTTTTCCTATATTAATCCTTTGCATTCGGGAATATTCGATATGTGTTGCGAAAACAACTCTCGAGTACAAAGGGTTAAATCATTATATATATATATATATATTGATTAAATTAATTACTAATTATAACTGAATTATTATAAATTATAATTATATATAAAGTGACCCTCAGATTCACCAAAGAAATATTCATAAAAAATATAACACAAGTGTTTCATAATCTGCAACTTACTTTGCATATTTCATCGAGAATCGTGTAATCAATTATATATCAATTTCGAAACTATATAATTACATAGTGAATGTTTAACAGAATACAAATTTTAAATGGCCCAATTTGCATAAACTGGGTTGCCTAAAAATTAATATTCTCTATTTGAACGAACACAAAATAGATTGAGCATCGAGTGCATTTTTCACGATGTTTGATTTTATTTCATCACGTAAATCGAATGAATTATGTAGTATGATGTTTTTTCGAAAAATTCCATCGTCCTTATCTTCGTTTAAATAAATTAGACGATGATGGCTCGGTGAAGGCATTTAATGGAAAGAAACAAAAAAGAAAAAAGAAAAGAAGGAGACATTAGTAGGAGAGTTTTATACCGGTTAGAGCAAATTGAGAGTTATCACGCGTTACTGGTATGCACGAAACGTGTTTGTTGCATAAAAGAGTCAGCCGCTGCCCTCGCCGTATGTAAAACGACCTGATTTTACTTTCTGAAAGGATCGTGTATCATTACCTCCGTCCGTTTAATGATCGTACCTCGGCCGAACGATCGATGGAAGCCATTTGATTCAGACTCGATCGCGATCGTGACGGTTCAATCAATTTGCTAAGGTTGTTGGGCGAACAGAAATAATTGTCTCGTTACTGAGAGTGTAATTCAATCGATGCGACAAGAAGCCACTTTATAAAACATAATTCTGTTATCGTCAAGCAAACATTGCTATTCTTGAAGAATCGAGAACTGTTGTCAAATAATCAAGGCATTGACCAAAGAATAGTTCGACTCGTGTTACATCAAGCTTATTCAAGACAATCGAAATTGTTGTTTACTTTGGTAAATTCAACATAATTAGAAAGTTTTAATAAATGCAGATTAAGTAGAGTTAATGAGAATTCATTAAATAATTCTTGCTTCTGTATGGCAATAATTAAATCAATATTAGAAACCGATGGAATAAAATATAAATTGTATTAATATGAAAAGCAGAATTGAAAATCGATCAGTAATAATATTTCCATTAATAGTAACATTTTTCAATATTTAACATACACCTACAAAAATTATATTTCTAACATTCACAAACCATAAAAAAATTTTTCTTGTTATTCAACATTTAAGTCCTCCACTATGCGAAACTTATTTCCAATGAATTACAATTTCTCCACATTCTAGTAATATTTAATATAATAAACAAACAAATAATTTAGTCAAAGAATAATCAACACTAAAATTTATTTCGAATGAATTACAATTTCCGCACATTCTGGTAATATTTAATATAATAAACAAACAAATAGTTTAGTCAAAGAATAATCAACACTAAAATTTATTTCGAATGAATTACAATTTCCGCACATTCTGGTAATATTTAATATAATAAACAAACAAATAATTTAGTCAAAGAATAATCAATACTAAAATTTATTTCCAAACATGTCTACATTTCAGTAGTATTCGATGCAATAAAGATCCAAATTATTATCTCGTTAGTCAAAGGACACTGCCATCGGTATTAGTGGCGACCGATCAGCGAAACTTGGAATTCTATCGCCGAGATTGATTAAAATCGCTAAAACATTGAATATCGAATTCCAGATTCGTCTAGGGCTCCAGAATGTGTCATAACCGAAATCGAATTGATGAAGCACGTCAGCGACAGAAATTGATCATAACGGTTTCACTTTGGAACTGTGCCAGTCGCCAGTCAAAACAGGTGATAAATAAAGGAGAATCGCCGCTCCGTGTCCGACGCACAATTACAGTTTTCCCCCCGTAGAATTTCGAGGGACACCGGACTACGTTGCCGCTTGATAAATGACACTTCCACCGAACGCTTGATAACGCATGGCTGACATTCATTGCACAACTTCTTCAGGAGATTTCCTATCCAAATTACTCTCGATATAACATTAATCTTATTTTTATTACCCTCAAAAGAGACCATAAAAAATACGAGCACTAACCATCGCATGGATTTCTCGGGGGGAAAGATTTTCTGGAAGTCTACGTTTTCATCAATACTGTTGAATGGAAGACGTTATATGCTTTTATTCATGATTTCATGAAAAATAGGAAAGAATATACAGATTTTTAAAGGACGATTCTATTTTGAAATTAGAATGAGGCGAAAGAGATGTAATGACGTGTAATAATATGTTAATAATAGTACTGAATAATGGTACTGAATAAAACATTCCTTTTATTGTTATTACTATAATAACGACAATGCTATTTCAATCAATTTTAATAAATAACGGTAGATTATAATCTTTAGTAATCAAAGAACAATCAAGTACAACAACCAAATTATATCTCAAAATACTATCTTCAATGTAAGAAACATCAACAATGGAACTCCAAAGTTATTTATTACTTTAGAGTATTCTACCTAAAACCACCGTTGCCCACTTTAATAAACGTTAAATTCTCAAAAATAAATCATAACACCTATTTCTCTAATTGCGTCAATCAAAATCAACGTAAACTTTGACCAAACAATATTTATAAAACTAATAACAAAACTATCGTGCATCTGATCTCAACTGTACCATTCACTGGACAAATAGATGAACTCCACACAACAAAAACTAGAGAACAGTGATGCAACATATGGATATTAAAAATTTGTAGGAATTAATGTGTTTCGTTGAATGTAAATACTGTAAATAATAATAAACACAATACTACTCAATATCGTAAAACAACACTACTCAGAAAAAAGAACATGTCGCCAAATTGGCGACACCGATTTCGAAAACAAATGTTAACCCATTGCACTCGAAAGGCGACTCTCAGCCACCACTTAATTCAGTATAGATTAATTATATATTCTTATATATAATGTTAAGTTTTATGTAATATATCGAACGCGAAACATTGAAATAAAATAGCTTTGATTCTTAATTTACGTATGTCGTCTTAGTAGTTGATTTCAAAGAATATTGTTTATATCACACTGAGAAATACTGAATACTCGTACCGGAGAACTTTCGAGTGGAAAGGGTTAAATGTCGCCACGTGGCGGCATCGATCGCAAAGGGTTAATCGGTTTGCCCGACGAGCAGCCCAATTATCGTTTCCCGTTCCCCGTTACCTGGAGTGACGTCACGGCGAGTTGACTGAGCCCGTCGACGTAGGGCCCCAGGACATTGTGCTCCCTGACTTTCAGCGACTGTTTGTTCGGCTTCGGATCGAGCAGGTCGTGCACCTTCTCGTTGTAGATCTCCATGTAAGAGACCTCCACCTTGTAGGTGAGCTCCGAGCTCTGCTGTTTCGCGATCATGTCGAATAGGTTGTCGCACAGCCGCGGTATTATACCTTTGTTCTCGCCGCTTCCCATCATCGTGTACGATTTCCCGGACCCTGGAAAATTAATCGGTGATACCGGTCAACGGGGAATAAAAAGAACCACGGGGGAAAAGGAAGGAATCCAGGGGGACGCCAATAACGGCCCCTTATCTCTGTTGGGGTTGCTCCGTGTCGTTACGACGCGAGAGGGTTGCGCCACGAAATTCGGGCTTTAACGAGCATGGCCGCCGCGATAAGCGGCGTTCCTTTATTTTTAGGCCAATTTGTATTTTCCACGTTTTTTCCCCTCCCCCTTTTTTTTTGTTACGGTAATTTCGCGGTCTGCGTTGATTATAATAGCTTGGACAGAGGCTGGCTACGCTAGTGCGCAACGGGAATCGCGAGGATTTTGCTTCTTTTTCGGTCGTTTGGCGTAATTGCACGGTTCTCTTGGTGATGAATGTGTTTGAACGTTAACCTGCTGGTGGTTTGGATTAAAATATTTTTTATGACCCCGTAGGAGAGGTTTGAGAGTGCTCGGATTTGATGATCATCGGTTTTTCTGTGTATGCTTTTTAACGCTTTGACGGCCACGGTGGTCACCGATGACCGGAGCTTCCAAATTGCTGAAGAACAATTACAATAAGAAACTTGATTTTAAATGAAATTATTTAGTAACGTAAGTAGGTAGATCGTAGCGTAATATGATTATTGCAATACTAAATCATTAATAATTATTTTCAATGTCATTTGCCTTTGTTATTAAATAATGGGTGTTACTATCCGAAGCGCTAGAAATTCTCGTGGCAGTCAACGTGTTAATGTATTTTTCAAGTTTGTCGATTTTTTAGAATTGAATTTAGTATAATTGATTGATGAGGTTAGTTAAGTTGAAGAACATGGAGGGTTGAAGGGTAGTTCGGAAATTTTAGTTAGTTGATGAAGGCGGTAATATGTAAGGGGTAATAGTCTTTTAATCTCTTCAGTTGAATTTTAGAAATTATTTTGTAAATCTGTTGTATTATAAGCTAAATAACTTTTTATTTTCATAAATAAGTTTATTTGTAAGAGATTAAAGGACTACTCAAATTTCCAAACTATCTTTTAACCCTCTAATCTTTTAATCTCTTAAGTGAAATTTGATAAATTATCTTATAAAAATGTTTATAAAAATAAAAAATTATTATGCTTCTAATACAGCAGATTTATAAAATAATTTGTAAAATTCTACTCAAGAGATTAAAGGACTATTAACCCTTACGTGTTACTGCCTTCATCTATTCTTATTTATAAAAAAAAAATTAATTGATGCTGTAATACTTTAATTTCCTTTATAATAGTGGTGCCTATAAGATTAAAACAAAATGAAACGAATTGGACAAGAATATTTGAGTCGAAATGAATCGTGAGGCAAGGGGTTGAAGATCAACGACAAATTCCTTTAACCGTTCGTCAAGGGTTAAACATTATACTGCGGGCGTTTAACCCTCGATCGACTTCGTTGCTTCTTGAAACCCCCTTAACAAGCTCAACATTTCTGATCTTCGATTCCCTCGTAAGACACGGGTCTCCCGGTCTAAGCGCTTGAGAGGATGACGAAACGAAAGGTTAAATCCGATTCGTCGATGGCAAGCGAGCGACTAAGTGCACAGGAAAGATGCAAGAGTCTTTAGAAGTGCATAATCTGACTGTCTATTCGTTTTTTTTCTTCTCTTCTGCATCCCCTTTTCTCTCAACCCCTGACAACCCAGCGCTATCCGAGGCACAAGATTGTCAAACTGATTTACATATAAAATCTAAAGTCTTTATTATTGCATCGTAAGATTATTTTGTTTAACTTCTCCTTCGTAATTTATTTTTCAAATTACCTTATTAATATTTTCACAGAAAAATTTTTGAACTGTTGTCTTGTGATCAATAGTTAGTTTTGCGATGAAGGTTTTTAATTATAATATGGATAAAAATAAATATGTTGAATAATTTGGTACAATACTATTTTATTCTGATTAACAAAAAACATTTTCTCTGTCGAAAGTTCAAGAAAAACGTGTCATTAAATTTACCAAAAAGTTTCGTCGCATTAAATAAATATTACAAAAAATAGCAATTCTTTAAATTAAACTTGAATTGAGCCTTGCATATTTCATTTGGAAGCTCCCTGTTCGTTCTATATCGTTTAGATTTTGGAAATTAAGGATTTAACACTAAAACTACCGAGCACTACCGTCTTTTTAAAATTTCTTTATAAAAGCTATAAACACGGAATTATTAAGATTCCAATTAGTTTATATATCAGTTTAGGTATTACTAAATCAGCTGCTTTAATCGTTTCTTAAAAAAGTGTCTCTACCTTTGTAGTAATTGTAAACGAAGAAATTAGAGATTGGTCATTCTGACCCACCTGGTAATTCTAGTGTTAAAAATGGATTGCTAGGATAGATATTCGTGTGGTGTGCGTCGAATTGTCGCGTTCCGTAAAACTAGTGTTAACCCTTCGCACTCCAAAGGTCTTAGATAGAAGTACTCGACATATTTTCGGATGAAATTTAGACAACATCTGTTAAAAGTAACTTAAAACGTTGAACGCTACACGATTTCATCGAGTAAAATACGCACAATGGAAAAAGTATAATATTAAATCATTTGATTGAATTGCGTTATAATTGTTACACGTTCATCTAGCTGAATATCACTGTATTAGGTAGCATTATTTATAATATAGAAATGTTTTCAAATAATTGTTTCATACATCGTTTCATTAAGTGAACTATAGTAATTCGATTCGGTTGGGAGTCACCGGTAATCTCCATAGCATTCAACGTGTTAATGAGAAATTATACAGAATTAAGGAACAAAGCTGCTTCATTTTGATATTCCACATATTGGTAGATTACATAAAATTTAACATTAATTAATAATATATTATCAAGCTTCATAACTTTTCTGTATGAAATCAAGTGGCGACTGAGGGGCACCGACGGAGCGCAAAGGGTTAATTTTTAACCCTCTATGGGCCGAATTTTTGTTCATGATTAGAACAAAATCTATGCAGTACAAAATTAATAAATATCCACATATGAATACGAATTGACAATGTATTCAATAGCTTCAATAATTTCATCAAACGAATATATTTTATAACTTTCAAGTTACAATAACGTTGAACTTCCTTGCCTGAGCGTATAAAAGTTTAAGTTAACTGATTACCTAATTTTATTCGCCACGTCGAGTGTAAAATGAAATAAATCAACATAATGCCAATATGCTGATATGTGACTTTATAGTTACATGAGCCTACAGAGGATTAACTCTTAGAATGAACGTACAGACAAAATATGTAGTGTTTCTGTAGAGACATTTGAAGAAGTCAATTGATCTGCTCGATAGTTTCAGTGTTAATCCATTAAGTCCCAGTGATCTGTTAATAGATCACTCACTCTAAATTGTTATAGACAATTTATTTGTTAATAAATAATGTATCTAACGATTAGGATAAATATGAGTTACTATTTAGAATGAATAAATTGAATCAAACGTTATTTCCAGATGAAACTTGTACTTCATTTAAAGTTTTGAAAATTTACAAAATGATCTATGACTGCATTGCCACGAGAAATTATTTATAAAATTCGAAATAACAAAGTTACAATGTTTGCAACTTGGAATTACAAAATAAATGTTTCCAGAATAATGAAAACTATATGCACTAACATTGAATATAAACAACGTTATGAACAATTAAATTAGGTGATCTATGAATATGTCACTGCTATATATAGTATATTGAATATGTCACATTTTTTTCACTATTTTTCCAAGATAGTATGGACACTCATTTCTCGAAATACAAAATTTCATCTAAAAACTCAAGAAAAAAAATTTCATGGGACTTAATGAGTTAAGATCATCCCCTGTATCTCCAAAGAATTGCGACATGCAGATACTCGCTTTGAATAAAGATGCAACGTGTCGCTCGGTGTCGTGCTCCGCGGCGTTTGGGTCAATGTCTCGTGTAAGATCAACCGTGGACGTTTATCGACGCCGACCTCTCTAATTGCGTTATTTGCGGGCGTTAAACTACAACCGAGCGGGTGATACGCTGCACCTCGAGGGTGGAGAACGATGCTTTCCTCTTATCTGGAGAAATAAATGTCGCCTCGAATGGCCGGCAACGGTAGATAGCCTTCGCAGAGCGACGATTCTTCTAATTGTTTCGTTTCTGAACTCGTGATAAAGTCTGATGACTGTACAGGGTGACTTAAAAGTAAAGTACGATGTTACGGCCAGCCGGTTTGGGGTCTGGAAAGTGTTTGGGGATTGCTTTCTTTAATTGAAATGGAGATTGGATTCTGTTAAGGCCACTTATAGCCTTACCGTTTCGTCCGGGCCCTTGAACGACCGTAGTTTTAGTTTTGTGTACGCTTTTTATCTTTCTAAGACTTAGCTGTACATTTGTTAGTTTTTTCGTAGCAATAAGAGCCTTCGTCCCGTCGCAAGTTGCAGTCGTCCTTACGGTATTACGAGAAGGGACCGTGGCAGCCATAAATCCCTGAACCCATAAGGCCCGCTATTCTTACTGTACATTTTCGCTGTCTATTGTTCACATCTGGCGTCCAGTTACCAGCATTTTTGACTCTCTAGCCCGTTTAGCATGTGTGTTTAAGGGCCTAAGCGTTTCTCGCTTTTTTACCTGCCACGGTCGACGACTGCAAACGCGACGAATTAGTTATTAACATTAGCAACTTGGAGACCCAAGAAGGGAGGGGACTGTCTCTCCCTTCCACAAACTTCTAGAATTAAAGGGCCAACCAGAACGACTTCACCCCCGCGAAGACGACTTGCGGAGGTGTCGTCGAAGACGTTTCTGGGAGGCCCAGTCAGTTGAGAAACAAGTTTCGACAAGTATCAGCTCAAATTGTACATAGCACAGAGTACGGAGTAGGAAGTACGGACTACAAAGCACAAATTAGCAATTTCGATCAAGCACATAGCATTTTAGTCAAAGTCCACTTCACCTCCTACTCATTTCCAAGTTTTGTTCCCGATTAACATCGGGTGGTCCTTCGAACCGTACAAGTTTATTAGTCGGTACACCACGTGCAAAATTCAACAAAACTCGATCACCATTCCGGTAACCACGAGTACTTAACAGATTCATTCGTAATGAATACTATCAAAAATTGCATTTTGGATATTTTAAGTGTCCTTTTTAATCCTTTGCACTCGGAAGCTTTTCAATGGAAATATTCAACACTTTCTGACTTGATATAGGCGATATTATTTCGAACTAATTTAACGATAATTCATAGATAAATTAAACAACAAAGGTTTTGTTTAAATATTTCATGTAGCAATGCAAAGTTTGATTTGAAATATTAAATATTCAACTTCATAGTTTTGTTGCATCAAGTGGTGACTGAGAGTCACCTCTCGAGTGCAGAGGGTTAATTGAGTTTATCCTATAGAATTTTGAAATTTTTAATTTTGCGTAAATGCATAACAATCTGTAGTCTAGTAGTAAAATATAGGTATACAATGTTTTTCACAGAATTAGTAATGGTTGTTTCTTTGAAGTAATTAAGAATAAAGGAAAAGATACGTTTTCATGCATCTTTATGAATAGATGAATTTGTTTTTATGGATTATTACTTTATTATTTTATACTGTGATAATCAAATGGCCTATGCAAAATGTACATAGTTTAATTCAATCATTGATTCGATTTGATTCAAAGCTATAGTCGTTGCAATTGCGCGAGGCACATTGATTATGAAAATTTCATGAATTTACTATACTCTCTGTCATCTATGCTCTCTGAAGACTATAGGTAAAATGATCATCTATAATTTCTTGATTGCGACGATAGGTATTACCTCGTTTTTGATCAACGAGTGGATTTCATAGATATATTATGTGACTCGTAAAGAAACAGACACGTCTGACAAGTACATGTGGAGTATAAATTATTAGCACTGATGACGATAGAAGATCGTTTAAATCTGCATCAAGGTTCTAGAGACTCTACATAGAATTCCCCCACAATTTCTCAATTTTAACAATTACTACTGCTTTTTAATCTTCTTCAACAAATAAATTTCACAAATCTACAGGGTGATTTACAAAGAAACAAACACACTTCTGACAAATCTAAAGCCTAAATTCCAAGCATCGATATCAATAAAAGATACATAAAAGTAGATCAAAGGTCTAGATATTATAACCAATGGTATTCTCCACAACGTCTTGATCACCAACACACAATTAACACTCTTGTCAAAGTTCCTAACAAGCTTCCCTATTCTTAACATTAAAACTACCGAGCAGTTACACTGAGCCTTTGAAATTTCTCTTTAGAAACTCCAAGAATGCATCTTTTGAGGCTTCAATCAATTCACACGTCAATTTACGTGGTAGAGAATTAATTTCTTTAATAATTTCTTAAAGAAACATTTATTATCTTTTTAATAATTGCAAAAAGAAGACATCAGGGATGAGTCATTTCTATCTATCTGATTATTTTACTGTTAAAACACAAATTGAAACAAATATATCATCTTCGGATATATTTAATACAAAATAAGTTCCAGATTCATCACGAATGTTTTTTTTGTAATTGCTCACATTTTGTCGGTTAAAGTAAGCTAATAAAAGATATGAATATTCGTAGCATTGCAGGAACTTCGCCACCGCGTTACCTATTATTTAGTGTTGACCGTAAGCTGGCATTGTTCTTTTCCGAGGCACAATTAACCCTTAACCTTTCCACTTCCGCACCCCGGTGTCTCGCGACGGAGTCTTTAAATTACAGGCCACGGCATTATAATAAATTCCAGTTATCACGGCCTACAGCGTTATTATTCTTCGCTCCTAATTGACGTCGTTATTTTCTCCGCCCTTAACTCTTATATCTCGGTGTGCCGCCGGTTAACCCCTAACTGATGTCGCTTCCTTTGGTCCACGGAAGAACTCCGTGTCCCTTTGCAATAAGTAAGCGGGACGCTGTGTATTGTGATTCGCGGACTGCGGACTTTTCCGCACTTATGGAACGCAAAAGTATGTTTAACCCTTTCGCGACGGCGCACCTGTACCATTCTTCGCTACTTTTCGCAACAGTGCGATTGACCATACTTTGCCACTTTTCGCGACGGCGCGACTGACTATACTTTGTCGTCGTTCGCGAAAGCGCGAGTGAACCATACTTCGCCACCAATGTATTTATAGCTTTATTTTGAGTTCGCTATTGAAATAAAATAATAATATAAAAAAACCAATAAGTGACTGCCGTATCTAGACGGCGTCAGCCGCTGTGATGCACCAAGTGACTGCCGTATATACACGGTACCCGTCGCGAAAGGGTTAACACGTTGAATGGATGCGGGTCACCGGTGACCCCCGCCCAAATTCAGTCACTGTAATTCTCTCAATTAAACGATAATTGTATAAAAACATTCCTATATTGTAAATAACGCTACCTAATGCGGTGACATTCAGCAAAACAATCCTGCGATAATAAAACGCAATTCAATGAAATCATTTAATATTGTACTTTTTTCATTTCGCATATTTTGCATCTTAAAATCGTGCGGCATTCAATGTGTTAACCCTCTGTAGACCCATGTAATATTGAAGTCACATATCGGTATATTGGCATGTTGTTGATTTATTTCATTCTGCACACAAAGTGGTGAATAAAATTAAGTAATCAGTTAACTTAAACTTTTATACGTTCAGGCGTGAAAGTTTAACGTCATTATAACTTGAAAGTTATAAAATATATTCGTTTGATGAAATTATTGAAAGTATTGAATACATTGTTAATTCGTATTCATATGTGGATATTTATTAATTTTGTACTGCATAGATTTTGTTCTAATCGTGAACAAAAATTCGGTTCATAGAGGGTTAACGCTTTGCATTGCAGAGTATACTTGGTTCGATTGGATTTTTTATTGAAGTTTTGGATTGAAAATAAAATGTAGTTTATATTTAATGAAAAATAGTTATTTTAGTGAAATTATAAAGTTTGATATTTATTGTAATATGAATCTCTGTACAATGCATCGATATGGGGAATATTAAAGAGTTTTGATTGAAAATAACTACTTTACATTAAATCTAAACTACATTTTATTTTAATTTTAGTGAAATTATAAAGTTTGATATTTAATATGAATCTCTGTACAATGCATCGATATGAGGAATATTGAAATACATTAGCATTGTTCCTTAATATGTCATTTCTTCTAAGTTAGTTTCAAGGAATACTGCTTACATTTTCAGCAATAAAATTTTTAAGTGGAAAGGGTTAAGAAAAAGTAATAAACCAACATTCAAACGACTTTTTACTATTTAATCTATTTTTATCCTCATCGTTAACCTACCAAACCCATTAGCATAAAAAATAAAATATTTTCTTCAAGTTTACCATTCTTCGGTACAATTGATTTCTACATAAAAGTTCATTGCCCAATAATTAATATTAAAGTCAATATTTCCTCAATTCCTATACAATGTATCTTCATCTCGCTTCAAAATGAAGAACATTTCAACCGAATAAATATTCAAATGCAAACGGTTAATCTTTCCTTCATAACTCTTTCCTTCGGACTCTCTAAAACAGTCCGTACTATTCAATTAAATTACGACTGCATGTATTGATTAACAGTTACAAACTGTAGAAGCAAATTCAATGTTCCTCAGTTACGAAGAAAAAAAGAGACTCGCATAATTTTTCTCCATTTACAATCATTAGATAGTTGAACGGAAGACTGAAAATTATTTGAAAAAAGTGAGAATTCCTTCTGAATTCGATAAGCAGGAGATAATCCCGCTGCCGCGCGGTAATGATAATCTCCGGATGCGGAACGGCGGCTTAAAAACCGCACAATGCCGGCGACGAAGCGACAAATCCGTAATCCGAGACGGCCGATACAATGCAAATGAAATGAGACGCTGATCAAAGCACATTGGAAGCGTTCCGCGCGAAGGGAGTTTAATCAGCTGCGAATTACGCGGGCGTGGCAACCCGGAAGGTCGCTGCATCAAGGCCGAAATGTCGGGTCCTGTGGAAATTTCTGTTCGCGATGTAAATGAATATACATTGGTAAATTACGTCCGCATTGGTGTAGATTCGCGCATTTATAGTCATCATTTATATCGATAATATTATCGTTCATATTCATAAGACGATATTCATAAAGAGAAGCCCATAGCTAAAATTTGTCAAAAACAACATCTAAAGAAAGATTCATTTATTTTAGATCAATTATTATTAAAATAGTGTGGATACATTGAAAAGGTCTTTAATTTTGTTGATTTTGAAATGTAAATTTTCTAATATTTAAACTGTTCAATCACAATGCACACAAGGATCCAATGGATTCTTATATATTATAGAATATAATTCAAGAATCCAAATTATCTAGTTCCAGTTTATTAAAAATTGAATATAGATCACGTTAAAATCGAACCTCTGTTAACACTAAAACTACCAAACGGGTCAAAATGACCTATTCCAGATTCTTTTAGCAATTATTGAAAAGATAACAGATGTCTCTCTGAGAAATTATTAAAGAAATTAGTTTAGCAATGCGCAGACTGAATCGTAAATCAATTAAAGTTTCAATAGATGCATTCTTAGACTTTTTATAAACGAATTACAAAATGGCAATTTAACTGCTCGGTAGTTTTAGTGTTAATCAAGGTCTTACAGTACTCCTGAATCCAGTATTAACCCTTTGCACTCGAGAATTGTTTCGTTGGATATATTCTTCATTTTCTAATGAAATATCAATGGTGGCTTTTGTAACTAACATTAATATGAATAATATAGAAACCAAGGGATGGAATTATTCTATTTTAACGTTTCATGGATAATTACGTTAAACGAACTTTAACAACGTACATCAAACTTTGTGATTTTGCTGTATTGAATCAAATGACGACTGTGAATCGCCTCTCGAGTGCAGGGGGTTAACATAGTCTCTGGCAATTCTCGTTCGCATAAATTAGTATTAATCGTGGGATGACCCAATACACAGAAGAAAAGAACAATTGGACTCACCGGTTTGTCCATAAGCGAAAATGCAGGCGTTGTAACCCTGGAACGCATTGTCCAAAATGTCGCGGCCGAGAGCGTCGAACACCACCTCTTGACTCGCGAAATTCTCCGCGCTCGGGTCCAAGGAGTGAAAACAATGGTCGAACGCGAATGTTTTTGGTTTGCTCCTGCAACAGGTAAATTCGTCGACTCGATTAATGCAATGGAAACATTAAGGCATACACTGGGGGTGACAATACAACGCATAGGAAGTTTCATTACAAGCGGACTGCGGAATTTCATTGAAATCTATATTTTTACAATGAAAATTCGAAGAAATTTCAATGGAATTAAATTCCGTTCCATTCGTGGATGGTTTCAATGAACTGAAAATAAAACGAAACTTCGTGAAGTTTGCAACGCTTCGCATTTTGTAATTATTTGAACATTTGCGGAGGTCGCAGGCGCATAAAATTTCGCAGTCTAATTACACGCGTGTAACGACGTAATATTAGCATGTTGTAGTGGAACGAGGTACTAGAATAATTTCGTCACGACTTCCTCCCACGTGATCTTGTTCATGATACTGCTTGGCATTTTTTTAATTAACATTTTTACTCTGATGTCGTGTACAGTAATAACGTAAGTAAATTAAAATATATCACTGATTTTCCTTTAAGAATCATATTTTAGAATTTGTATTTCTTAGAAGAATATTTCTTCAAAACTGTAATGGGAAAATACTAAATTTGATTCAAATTGAAAATAGAAAGTTTCCCGTTTCCTATATCATACAGTAGAAATTTAGATAAATTAAAATATTGATACGTTTGGTTTATAATTCATTTTTTATAATTAAATGGCACAGCACACTGCAAGATAATGTTATTCTAAGAAATAACAGCATGTCATCTTCACCTTTATTTCGTACATTGTTAATTATGTGTATCATTAATAATTACTAAAATTGAAGATAAATAATACGACAAAATCATAGTACAATTAAGAATGAAATGATACAATTCACAAAGAAAACACACTAATACACAGAAAGAAGATACAATAACGTGAACATCAAAGAGCAATCGATAGTTGTCTACAACTTTATTTCCGTAATTATCTCTGTCTTTCAGTAATGCGTATTAATTGAGAAATACCATTTCCTCGGCGTTCTAGTGCACTATGATCCCAAGAGCTCCTTCGAGGAACAATAACGTTGTACGAATAATTACGAATGCTTCTTAACGTCGATCGACGGGCGCCTGGGGTTTCGATAATGAAAAAATCGCTAGCATCGACGTATAGAGGGTTGCAAATCAACCCTTACGCCGCTAAAAGCATTCTAGATATTAAATCCAGCAGTTCCGTCTCGTGGGAAAACGAGACCGTACGGGGGTGGGTTTATGAAACGTGTCGCTAAGAAATTAATGGCAGCCCCGTTCGCGCTCACAATGAAACGGAATTAATTCTGTCTTGGAAATCCTCTGGCAAGACCGTCTTTATGACACGAAAAAAGTTCACAATGTAAAATTAACGATCTAGTAATTAAACCACACAGACGAATTGCAAATTAAAAATTCATCGTGACCTCTTTAGACGCGAGAAGAATATTTTCGATGGTTTCCTTAATTTTTTGGTGACCTACAATTTGGGATTATTTCGAATGATTACTTATGGTAGTAATATTTCTGTTACTCTAAAAATCTATTTGAAATTTAATATAAAATTAGGGAAACATGATGATAAATTCCTTTATTTGATTTTTATAATTTGATTTGATTTACGTATAATTTATTTTATTTCTGTTAAATAAACATGTTAGAAATTACGTAAAGGTTTTCGCGTGAGTTAATCTGAAATTAATATATATCGAAGAAGTTTGTTAAGATTGTATCATCGTGAATCGCCGCGTATAATAGGCTCATTTATTTTAATTCAAGGGAGGAAGTAGATTTTGATTATGAAATTCAGAAGCGTTTCGCATGCTGGATCGTTACGTTTTAGGAAAGAATAATCTGCGAATGCAAATGTATGTAAATTATTCGTAAAATTCTGGGGGAAGCGTTTACAATGTGTTTCCTTGTCCCGCCCCGTGAAAAGAGCAAAGTTTCCACATTAATCTCCATAAAATCCTGCATATTTCATCTTTCGATCGCGAGAGAGTACATTCCGCGAATACGGCCGTGTACGAACCGTTGAAACATTTATGAATCAACCTGTACAACGTGTTTCCTTACTTCATCCCGCAAAAAGGCGAAGTTTCACCATTAATCTCTATAACATCTTGCATATTTCATCTTTCGATCACGCGGAAGGAATATCCCGCGAGCTCGGACGGGCATAAATCATTCAAATATTTATGAATCGTCCTGTACAACGGCGTTTCTTATTCTAACCCGGAAAAGGTACAGATTTGTCATCAAACGCGTGACGTTCTCCATATTTCATCTTTCCATCTGGCGAACGAATATTTTTAAATGCGCGTGAATTACTTCGAAATTGATGAATCAATCTGTAAACTGTACTTTTTTTCCGCTTGTTTCTGTTAGCGAATCATTTCGGCGAAGTTTCCTCGTTAACCTTTGAACTATTCGCAATGTTTGATCTTTTTTGCCGGCGAAAAAGTGCCGCGGTGCCCGAAATTCCTATTAAATTCCGTAAATGGGAGCACGAAAGGGTGAGGCAACATTATTTTCACGTTTGCGCGGGGAATTATCGAGCAACCCCGGTTCCAACGCGGCGGAAATGCGTATACTCAGGCTCAAAAGTCACGGGACACTCGGGAAATTTCGTGAAGATTGAGGGAAACAGTTGAACTCGTTGAAATGTTTCAAGAAATCAGCTGTTTTTAATATTTTATAGAATTTACTTTGTTTTCGTATCATACAGAATTTCTCTTTGTTTTAATGATTTACAGAATTTAATTTGTTTTCATATCATATAGAATTTTTAATAACATTCGTATATAATACTTTATTTCATCTACGATATATCTTTTAATGCTTTAAATACTGTTTTCATTAATTTTCACATCTTAACCATTATTTCATCGAGTTGAAAAAATTAGTACCACTTTGATTTAACCTTTTGTAATCCGAATTCTTTTTTCTTATTTCCAATAGTCTGTTCCCAAATAATTTTCGACTTTTAACAATTCATTATGTACCTAAGAACTTTGTCTCAGTTTAACCCTTTGCACTCCAAACATTTTCAGTTCTTTACTAGTTCATTTCTACAACGAAACTTTGAAGAATCTATAGATTTTATTTCGAAAAAGAAAAATCACAAGTATTCACGGATTCTTTTAATTTCTTTTGTCAGTTTTCTTTATTCGAGTAAGAGAAAAAAGAAGTAATTTTCCATTTGATATTAATCATATAAGCAGATATTTTATAATTAATAATATTAATTCATAATTAATCTATAGCAGAGTCAACGATGTGCAAAGGGTTAATAAAGTTATAAGCAAGATGAAGTATAATATAATCTGAAAAACAATGAAAGACCTTTATCGATTGCTTTGAATATAAATTAATGAATTAGCGTGCAGAAATAATTAAAATAATTATAATTCTTACATTTAAAAACTATGTCGGGCCACTCTCGACGTTGGACCGCAAAGGGTTAAAATAACGCGTATACTCGTCAAACACAGTTAACTAGTTAACACATTAACCAACGAACGATTTTTGTTCTATTGAAATTTTTCCCAAATAAGGAATATTCAATAGGAATAGCATAATGCAAGTTTTGTCTTTATCGTTACTCTAATTTTAATACAATGTAAACGTGTCTTAATAAATAAATGAACATTCAGAAACATTTTTAATTATTCCTATTTTAGTCAGTCTTTTTATTATTTCATTGTTAGAAAATATTGCATTAAATAAATGTTCTAATTATAATTATCTAGCATATTAATCGAGTTGCTGTAGAATTACTCGTTTTATAGTTCCACTAAGAATTACTAAATATTCAGCGTTTGCTATTGATTATATAGTTTGTATTGTATCCATAACTGGTTAACACGTTGACTGTCACGGTGGTCACCGATGACCGGAGCTTCTAAAGTGCTGAAGAACAATTACAATAAAAAACTTGATCTTAAGTAAAAATATTCAGTAACATAAGTAGCTAGGTTATAGTGTAATATTACCACTGTGATACTAAACCATTAATAATTATTTTCAATATCATTTGCCTTTGTTATTAAAGAATAAGTATTACTATTCAAAGCGCTAGAAATTCTCGTGGTAGTTAACGTTTATAACACTAGGTTTACGGGCATTTATTGTACACTTCATTATTCCTAAAAGAATTGATGCTCGTTTATTTAGATTGTGGAAACTGGATATTTGATAGTAGGTAATTGGGGTACATGTCAGTGTGATCGCATCAATCAAAATCGGCGTAAAAATTTACAAAATAATATTTCTAAAATCCAATATGCGTCAATTTGACGCGTTCCGTAAACCTAGTGTTCACATTCAAGTATCCCAACTTTCGTACACAAGATAATCTGATTCGTTTCTGTCTACCCTATACAACGAAGGATCTCCGCGAATGGATGAGTATCCTAGAAATTTTTGAGCGGGAGTGTATATCCCGGTTCCCAGGGAATGAAAGTGATTTCCTCTTGTCCTGGATATCCGAGCGCGACCCTGTCTCAAACGTCAAAAGATCCGAAGTCGTTGGATACGGCTCGGCCCGTTATACGCATCGGCCCACGTTATTGATTTCCCGTCGTATTTTCTCTCCGAGTAATCAGTTTCCATCGGTTTTCCGGGCCGGTGCAAAAGAATGAAAAAGAAGGGGTGGAACGGAACTGGAACGTTTAGCTCGCGGTGACGCCGACGAGCGGCGAGCCATTGCGACTTCGAATCTGAACGCGAGATCGCTGGATTTCGTGGAACACGTGTTGGAAACTCGCCTTTTTTCAGTGAGTAATGCCTAAAGTTGGGGGATCGCTTGATGCCTGGACCGGGGGATGTACACTGATGACTGATCGATCAGCTTTTGTCTGTTCTCATTTGATTTTTGACGCTCGCTTGCTATTTGTTAACACGTTGAATGCCATGGGGGTCACCGATGACATCAACTAAATCGAATTACTATAATTCATTCGATTAACCGATGATTATTTGAAAACTTTTCTATGCTATAAGTAATACAACATAATGCACTGACA